TGGGTAAAAGGAGAATGGGCAAAATTCAAAGACTGGACCTGGAAGCGGCCACTTCAAAAACATAGTTTTCATAATTCTTTATGTTAAGGTAAACAACACTTAGTATGGGGTCAAAGTCATATTTTGTGTGTAAAAGAAGTTATGACCAATACGATCGCCGAAGTAATTAATAAATTAACACATGGCGCATTGTTCACAAATATTCCTTTATTTTCTGGATCACTCAAAATCTTTTGTATAAAATAAAACAATGCCCTGTGTAGTCATGCCGCCGCGGCCTAAATTCCCTTTCTTCCACCCCTCTTATGCGCACGCGCATCCAGGTTCAAGAGTTTTTAGGTAACTTAGTTTAGTTGTTTCGACTTGCTTCGACTGTTCTGTGCTCCCCATTGCTTTCTGATTCTCATATGACTCTGTTCGCTCATCTCGCTCATTTGTTGTTATATTTACAGATTTTTGAAAATATAATAAGCTACATCTGTCGCCCTTAGTCAATACGACGGAGGGCGTTGGAAGAGAGAGCACAATACAACATTATTGTACGTGCCTTACTGGTAGACGGACGTTGGGTTGCTGTGCTCATGTCATATTATTGTACGATATCTAGGGTGGGCGTGGCACCAAGGAAATCTTAATCTTACATTACAGCTTAATTTTTAGATGAAGTAATCATAGACAAAATAAATAGGTTTTGAAAAAATACAATTCTTTTACTTAATACATTTTTTGTTTCTTAAGTATACATATATGTGGAAAACCTTTTATATCAAGAATTACTGGATCAATTCCCAAAATTGTGTCATTATTCCACCGCTTATGGAACACTTTAAACCTTAAGCTAATATCTGGTCAATCGTGGCTAAGATACACGACACAAACAAAATTCCAGGCAGAAGTTCATATTATATTAATTATCAACATTTAAAAATACATATTATTCAAGATATTTCGCAAACTTAATGACTTACGTGTTGGTGTTGGTGCCCATGCACATTTCTTACATTGTTTCGCACGTATAATTCGTAATTTTAATATTTTATTGAACTACTAGCCGCTTTCGTATTCATTCCGCTCCATCAGGTAGTGCACCTACTCGTATGTTCCTACGGCCCGTCATCCGTGTCTCACTTCGCTATTGTTTCCTCGCACCGCCCGCGCACGCGCTGCATATTATTTGCAGCGCGGCGTGAAATTTACTAATTAATAGTAAATGTCCATAGTATTTGTTGCGAGTTATAGTTATTTTCCCGCGACGGACGCTGATATTACTCACTGATATTACGTATTCTCGTACATACTTTCCCGCAGGTATTTTCATGTTGATACTACTAAGCTGGTATTACGTGTTAATACTTAACGCTGATACTACTAAGCTGGTATTCACGTTTTATTCGCCATTGCTTCTTCTCGCGTATTTGTTATTGGTTCATTCCGCATATTTGTTAATTATTCGCTTGTATTTGTTCATATTTGTTCGCCCCGCGCCTGATCTATTATTCGTTTACCTGCTTTGCCTTATAGGCAAATAACGCTGGTAATACATTAAGCTGGTACTCACGTGTTTGGTACTTAGTTGCATATTCTTGTTCGCTTGTTTAACTGTTTCGTTTGTTCCAGCTCGAAGTTAGATACTGCTCGTTTTAAATATACATAATTAAATGTGTCTAAGAAGACAGAAAAGCCCTCGAGGACGTCGTTAGCCTCATAGAGGTCGATATTCAATTGTTGTTGTCTCGCCGCAATACGTTGTATGCAATTTTGCAAAGTATTTTCGATTTGTTACAAAAGGTAAAAGCTGATATCGAACCTCAAGAGGTATTTTTGTGCTCTGGTGTCAATTTAGACACGCTTCGCACTGAATTTCGTGAAGCATTAGATAAATTCAATGCTCTTAATTTGCGATTGAATCCACGTTTCGATGTTGATGAACAATCTTGGATGACATTCGAAGATTTATATCGCCGAAATTAAATATGCTCATTCTATTTATTCTGCTCCCGCGCCTTTCCCGACTGTGTCGCACTCGCCGAGTCTTAACCTCGCTACACAGCAGGCCCGCTTACCACCTATTGAAATTATGTCATTTGACGGCGATATTCGTAACTGGCCGCTATTTTACGCTAATTACAAGAGCACAGTGCATAACAACTCCTCTCTCACTGATAGTGAGAAGTTAATACAACTAACCGCTAATAAAACTTATATAGCAATAAAGGACATTTGAAACTCGCTCCGCAACCCCACTCATATCCCGTTGTTATTGATAGCAGTATGATAGCAGTAATAAGTCGCGAAAGCGTTTGTGTAATAATTTTACACACAAACATCTTTATAAATGTCCCGCATTCGCAAATATGTCACCGAGTGATCGATTCAAATGTGTGAAAGAGCTGTATTAATTGCGAGTGTGCGACGCGTGTATTAATTGTTTAAGTATTAAACATAAAGCACGCGGATGTCAGTCCGACGTCAAGTGGAAGATAAGTTTCAATAAACACTCTTTTACATTTCAATAGTGTTTGGGTTGGCGTTTATGATTGGCCTTATATTCGTGCTATGCCGATGTTTTTTATTTGGAGGGTGAACCGTTTGCATCAATACAACTGATGAAGTGCCTATTTACACGAGAAGTTACCGATATCCATTCATACATCGAAATGAGGTTCGCGATCAAATAAGTAAAAAGTTAGAACAAGAAATAATTTTAAATTAAATTAAAAAATAAAATTAGACCCTCCACATCCGTATGGAGCTCTCCCATATGGGTCGTCCCCAAGAAAGCGGACGCATCGGGAAAGCAAAAGTGGCGTTTGATGGTAGACTTTCGTAAATTGAACGAAAAGACAATTGACGACAAATATCCTATACCTAATATTATGGACATTCTTGACAAGTTAGGCAGATGTATGTATTTTACCGCCTTAGATCTGGCATCAGGTTTCTACCAAGTAGAAATGAATGAAGCCGATATTCCAAAAACTGCCTTTAACGTCAAGCACGGACACTATGAATTTCTAAGAATGCCTATGGGCTTAAAGAACGCTCCTACTTTTCAAAGAGTAATGGACAACGTGCTTAGAGGCCTTTTAAATGAAATTTGCATAGTGTATTTGGACGATATGATAGTGTTAGGGACTTCCCTACAAGAGGCCATCAATAATTTGGAAAAAGTATTGCAGAGACTACGCGAGTCCAATTTTAAAATACAATTAGACAAATTGGAGTTCCTTAAAAAAGAAACTGACTATTTAGGCCATGTGGTCACAAAGGAATGCATAAAACCGAACCCTGACACAATTTCTGCGATTGAGAAATACCCAATACCGGAAACCACCAAACAAATTAAACAATTTTTAGGTTTAATTGGGTACTATCGCAAATTTATTCCGGATTTTGCCCGGATCACTAAACCGTTGACCAATTATTTAAAAAAGGGTAAAAAGATAACCTTGAACACAGACTATGTAAATTCATTTGAAAAATGTAAAACACTCTTGACAAATGACCCTATCCTACAGTATCCCGACTTTGACCGTGAATTTGTACTGACGACCGATGCGTCTAATGTTGCCTTATGAACCGTACTTTCTCAGGGAACTATAGGATCAGATAAACCCATATCTTTCGCAACACGTACACTCAATGATAGTGAAGTGAATTATAGCACGATAGAAAAGGAACTTTTAGCCATCGTTTGGGCCACCAAATATTTCAGACCATACTTATTCGGTCGAAAATTCAAAATTGTTACAGATCTTAAACCATTAGAATGGATTATGAATCCGAAAGAACCAAATTTAAGACTAACTAGGTGGAGACTGAAACTGAGTGAGTACGATTATACCGTAATGTATAAAAAAAGGCAAAAATAACACCAACGCAGATGCTCTACCCAGAATTGAGTTACATAATGAGGAGACCAGTTCTATAGCCGCCAATTGTTCAAAGAAACCTCCATCTTCATTATCTAACTCCGAAACAGAAACCGCGAAATACTAATCACGAAAACCCTGTTTTAGAAATTCCTATAACCGAAGAACCATTAAATAAATTCCACCGACAGTTGCACATCACCATTGTTACGGACGTGAAACGTAGGGCCGTGACAAACCATTTGATACCCACACTCGCATTTCAATTCAAGTAAATGAGTCTAATTTGGAGAATGATATAGTTACTGCTATAAAGGAGAATGTAAGCCCGAAAGTTAAAACGGCAATGCTTGTAAATGCACCTCTTGCCATGTATTCCATCATCCCCATCATACACGAAAAATTTAAGAGTTCATCTATAAACCTTGTCTTGGCGAAATCAGAAATAGAGAACGTTAAGGAATATTTTCGGCAACAGGAAATAATTCGTAATTACCACGATGGTAAAACTAACCATAGAGGCATTGCTGAGTGTTATTAAGCCCTTTCAAAAAAATATTTTTGGCCGAAAATGAAAGAACAGATAGCGAAATTTATAGGCGAGTGTATAATTTGCGGTCAAGCGAAATATGACAGGAATCCTGTGAGACAACAATTTAATATTGTAATTTGGTTTAAAATAAAGAATTATAGTTCTAACTTTCTTTGTCACTATTTCTTTCTTATTTTTTCTTCATAATATACTTAAAATAAAAATAATCTTTGTAAAAGCTATACTTGTAACTTCAAAAGTCCGGCATTTTTCCTAATACTCCCGAGCATGTTTGAGAAAACAATATTTAATACAAATTCGAACCGTCTTCCAGCAAACAAGACAGCGAATACTTAGAATTATTTCTAAGTATTCGATCATTGTATTATTTATAATGCTAATTTCTTTAAATTCCTATGACAAATACATTCTGGCGCCCAGCGCGATAGTAGTAATAAGTCAACTAATGTATATTCTCTCCAAGTAGTAATATCTAAAAAATTGAAATTATTGTTATTGAACCTACTTTCAATATGGCAAATAAATCAGTAAGTGAATACGAGACGGGCAAGTGAACGAGGGTAGAATACTAACGCATGTCAAGCACCACCTTGTCATAGGTCTCACTCTCGAGGGCGACCTCGCCGAGCGCGAGGTGAACGTCGGCGAGCAGCGCACGCGCAGCGTCGCCGCCCTGCGCCGCGCGCCGCGCCAGTATGTTGCGCGACAGGTCTGCGGGGCCACAAACGAAGCGCTCAGACTCGGCGACAACACATCTCGCTTTAACAACACTCATTCCGCTCGTTTATTCATAAATATATACCATGGCATCGTGAAATAAACCATATTTAGATTTTTCTTGACGAATGCCGCTGTTAAACAGTTTAACAAAAAAGACATTTCAACAAAACGAACTGTCATCAGATTTCTCTGAATAGACATGTACTTGATATTCCCATATTCCTACTGCATATGTAAAACAAAATGTCACTTGAGGTATGATTGAAATGTGACAGACTATTTAACAAAACAGAAGGTGGTAAAGTACAATAACATAATTATAATTTTTCATTCTTGATATTTACTATGTAAAATTGTAACTTACGACGCTTTCTTATTATTGCAATAATCAATTACCATTTTTGCAAACATCTTATTTTTTTCGTACAATATGCATATATTTACAGGACCATTCCAATGCAATAGTGTAGCATTTCTATTTACTTCTATTAACTAATAATAATAACAAAGAAAAACAATAATTAATTAGGTACATACTATAGAAAGTGTCACCTTTACGAATCTATAATGTAATAATTTTAATAGCATTATGGATTACATATTCTGGTTATACACTACCGTACTAGGCCAAAAGTATTGGCTACCTGGGACACTTACCAAGCATCTCCCAAGCCAACTGCAAGTTGTCTACATCATCTTCTTTCTCCAACACGGACTCATCATTGCCTTCGCTGTTTAATGGACCCTGTAGCAATACATAAAAGTTTTAAACATCTACTTTGATAGCCTGAAAATCTAGAATTGGTACTAATTTCATAAAGAGTCAGAAGGGCTGCCTGGAGGTAGAAAAATTGAGACTAGTGGAAGAGCTAAAGTAAGGGATGCCTGTGTGCTACAGTAGGAAAAAAAAATTAAAAGATAATTTAGTAACCCAACAGTTGCCTCTCTAGACACTACAGTCAAGAAATTCACCACTGCAGACCCATAATACTCCGTTGAAAGTGAAATCAAAGAGTTGAAGGAACTCCTATCTGAAATCCAGGAGAAAATACAGGACATGATGGATTATAAAGCTGAGGTAAGGCCCTGCGACTGTGTGGAAAAAACTAGAAAAATGCTTAGAGATATGATGGTTAGAGACAAGAACACAAGCGTTGTTGAATGTCAGGGTTAGACTGACTTTTTACTCTTTGTAACTGATGTTCATTTATTCCAGTGCAAACATTCCATTTTTGTTATGTAGTAGGCAAGAATTGACGAAACTAATACAGTTAGCAATCGTCATAAAAATGTACGTGTTTTGTATCTCATTAGATAGAATGTTCCTCAAATTAGTGCCAAACAGAGATGGGCATTGGGTTAAAACCCAATCGATCCGCTTGGGGTTTTACCCAAAGCGCCAGGTTTTAATTCATTTCTGCCCAAAATCGTAGAATACGGAATTTGGTACAATTTCATACTACAAATTTTGATGTATACCTAAATCCTTTTTTTATACGAAAAAGAGGCGAGGCAGAGGCAATCTATAAGTGCATCTGACAATTTTTCGTAGCGATTAATTTCAATGCGATTTTCTAGGCACAGGCAGGCAAAACGATTCGTCTATTTAGATAAAAAATAGCAATAAATATTTTGTAATAATATCAATAAATTTGAACAAAACTCGATCTACAACAAATGTTTAGTTGTAATTAGTTTTTGCCTTGGATTTTGGCTTTACTGTGTTTTAACCTAATTTAAACCCGGCATTAACAAAGCGCCGCGTTCAAACCCGGACGCTTGTCCGTCTCTGGTGCCAAATTAGTTCCACTAATTTTATAGTTTAACTGCCTCCGTGGCCGGACGGTTACCATGCCGGACTGCCACGCAGAGGTCCCAGGTTCGATTCCCGGGCCGGGCGAAATATTTGTATGACCTACATTTATTTCTCTCGTGAGTTTGGGTGTAATTTGTGGTTGTCTATGTGTGTGTCCATGGCACCCGCGACACAGGGTTTCCCTATTATTATTATAGTGATAATTTTTGAAAACTGATAAAAAAAGTCTATAATCAGTATTAATCGTTTTAATCGTAATTTACTAGTGCCTTTTAAATCTCAGCATTTTGTAATACTCATTAGTTTTTAAGCATTTTTATATTGTATTCTGTAGACATTAGTGAAAACACGAGGCCATTTTTGTATTGTCTTGTATTTTTTGAAATAAAGTTGTATGGAAATGTATTTGTTGTATTATTTTTAAATTTAATCCAATACGTGAACGGCCATGTGGTTGGCTTATTGTCTCTGTAGTAACATGGCCTTTATGTTTATTGCCGATATTTTCCAAAGTTTCGTAGGCAACCCCTAGTATTGCAGAATCAGCAGCACTTGAGTTGCAGGCACTCATTCGGCGTGAACTATATTCTAAGTATTATACTTACAATAAATATTGTACATTCAGTACTATTTTGAATTTTTGAATAGTAAATGTGGTGATACAGGTCGCAGGGTCGAATCCGGGCTTGCACCTATGAGGTTCTCGGAATTTATGTGCGAAATTTAATTTGAAAATTACCATGAGCTTTTCGGTGAAGGAAAACATAGTTATGAAACCTGCATTTAGAAGGTTCACAACAAGCCTCGCCTGAGAGGAGACCCGTGCCCGCCAGTGCGACATCTAAAAGGGTTGATAATGATGTCAAATGTGGTGGCAAGTGTTTCCTGTGTAAAGTATATTTCTTCAGCCAGGACTTGGCTGAATAATTAGAGATCGCGCTTTACATTGACAGCATGCGACCACCTATGAAACCCTTTTGGTCCCCGTTGATCCGAATGTAGTAACTGTCTTAATCCTGTGTCTTTTGTTTAGTTTAGAAACGAATGTTTAAAAAAGTTTCCAACGATTTTAGTTACTGTAAAGTCCTAGGCCACTCGGTGGTGTCCGTAGCGTGCATCTGTGTTTTCATCCACCATAATAAAAAAAAAATTAATTGACAAAAAGTATATATTTATTTTTAAAAGAAAAAAATAGGACGTGTGTCGGTTAACTAGCTGGTGTCCGCGACTTCATTTGCGTAGAACTTTTTGCGTACTACTTCGAGTATCCAACTTACTTGAGAAATTATTGATTCTCCATACAAACTCATCCCCTGATTTATTTTTGTGACAAAAAGTAGTTAATGTCCTTCTCCTAGTTACTATTTATCTCTATACTAAAATTCATCAAATTTGGTTCAGCGGCTTAAGTGTGAAAACGTAGCAGTTACTTTCGCGTTTATAATATTACTTTGGATTTGCAGACTATAAAATGCGTTCGCGAAACGCTTCGAACGGAGCGTCATTATCTAACGGCGCATCATCACCAAACGGTGCCAGCAGCAGCAGCAGTACAGAACAGAAACCTGTGTCAACATCTCACACCTGATCAAGCGAAAACGCAAAGCCAGTGAGACTGAAGAAACACCGGCTAAGAAACCTGCTACGTGAATTTTGCGTTTATAGCTTTAGGTGAACTGCATAGGCTGAGTTGAATTTTCTTTTGTGCCTAACGTTGTGTGCTCTATATTAATGCAGGTTTACTTACATTGATTAAAATCAGTAAAACAGAATAGTAATAGAATTTCAGTAGAATGTTGGCCATGAATGAACTTAACTTTGTATGGAGAACAAAGTATTGGTTTATTTTTGTAAACTTGGGTACCTATTTATTTTATCGATATGGCGAATTTGGTGGTTAGAGTCCACCCGGATCGAAGGAATTTTTCTTTGTGCTTGTTTCATCTTTGTATCGATAATAACTTAGGTATCTACTTTTATGGCATTTTCTAATTTAATTATTTATGCAGTTGTTTGTATGATGTAAACCACGGAAGAAAAAAAAAACAATTTAAGTGCCATAAACCTCGATTGCTATCAGAACAGATGTCGCCAAAACTCACACATTATAAAACTAAAATTTAAAACACTACAAAATCTTGATATTGGTTCGTTATTGGTCGTATAGTCCATTTGTTTAGGTACTTAACTGAATGTAAACAATCTTGAGATATCTTTTTATTGATACGTATACTGTAAAGTATACATATAAATAAATCAATAGGAATTAAAATTAGGCATGCAATTTTACATGAAACTAAGTATTTGTATTTTGTATTTGAAGGTAGTAAAATTAATTTTGTAAATGTATATTTCATTAAATGGACATCTCAAGATTGTTTACATTTAGTTAAATACCTAAACAAATGGATTATAGTTTCAAATTTAAAAAGAAATAACAAATCGCATTACCAAACCATTTAAGCAAGTTTAATTTAAAATTTTATATTTTTCATTCGTTAAATCCATTCTCGATTTTGGAAGCGTGGTTTGGAATCCATTCTACAAATGTAATATCGAATACTCTCTTAGGAGTAATAAATTACTTACTTTACAAAATCGCCGTATGAAATCTGACATAGATTTTCTCTACAAAATACTTAACAATATGGTTGATTCACCGACTCTGTTATCGCAGGTTAATTTTATAAATAAAGCTCGTTTACCAGCACGCCCCCAACGTAAAATAAAAATTTTCGTACCACCACGACTCCGTAAGAATTATACGAGAAACAGTTATTTTCATCGTTCGCTATCTTTATATAATAATACATTTTGTGACACGGATATGTTTGGTATCTCATTGCACAGATTTAAGGTAAGCATCCACAACAAATTATTTACTGTCTATGAAACCTGAAGTCGGTTTACATCCCGGTTAATTAGTTTTGTTTTAATTTTCTCTAGTTCTAAGTAGTAATTTGTCTAAGCACCCATATGGTTAACCATTCGCTTTTGGTTCAAAAACCCGTTTATTTTGTATTCTATTTATATATTTAAGCCCTTTTAGTACATGTTATTAATATTTAAGTGTAATATTCGGTACGGTACAGAACGGTGTAGAGTAGTAAATATTTAAATATTTGTTGTTGTGTGACTTAAATAGAAACTAAATAGTAATTAGACATATATAATCAAGAATTATAATTAATTAGAAATATTGTAAAAGCGTGAGACCTTCTCAACTATTGTCATGCCCTTACAGGGTTGTCATACTTGTATCATGTGTGATATGTGCAATAAATAAATAAATACTCGTTGTCTATAGTATAGTTCAAATTTCTGTATTAATTCATACTGTAATGACTGTTTGTACCAAAATAAATTATATAAAAAAAATATATATATATTTTAATATATGTTATATATATGCAATTAAAATATGTATTTTAATTGTTAATATAATTTAAACTTTACCCTGTAGGCATATCGTTGAAAGTTCAATACCATCAATACCTATACTACAAGTTACGACGTTTTGACATTATATTGAAATTTCAATCAATTTGCTGCCATCTAGCGGTTCATTGCTGAACGACTACGAATTCGAAGTGTTAATTTAGTTCTCTAAACAAGAACCGACGTATTGCAGGGGTATAAGCTTTACTTTCGTTTGTAACAAAAAAATATTTCGATGAACAGAAGTTGAAAATGTAATAAAATAAAACTTTCCGATTATACTTACAAAATACCACCACGGGTAATATTTTTGGTGCGGCAAAACAGCACAATAAGGCGTTTTTCTACAATTTTAGATAATTTACACGAAATAATGACACAACCATACCATACAAAGCAAAATGGCGGACTGAGCTGTATATATGTATTGTTCTGTGACATAAACAAGGCGCTAATACGCTATAGACTTTTCAGTGCAGAGCATAAAGGCCCGTTCAGGTTACTGCAATGTGGATAACAATACGATATTGATCCACTATAATATTAAAAACGTTTCATTCTTCTGCTTTCAACGAAAGGTCATTGGTTTATCTCAATTGTCTGAGGAGACAATGTCCAATTGATGGCCAAAAAACTACGTTCTCGTCGCTTACCATTTATTATGTTCCATGGACTATTTGTTGGAGCTTGCTTGCGAGGTAGTTAGAAATGTTGTAGATAACGGTCGACTGAAAATTTACATGTTTATTATTTATAAAAATAACAAATAACAATTGAGACCGTAGAATGAGTTCAAATGTTTGTTGTTGTGGCTTATATTCCTTTCCGGGAGTACAATTCAATTGTAAAATTTCCATTCTAATCGGTCCAGAACTTTTGTCCCAGATTTCCATCTGGGACATAAATTCCCATCTACATTGTAATGACCAAAAACTAGTTTCTTTTTTAAAGTCGCCTTAAGAATTTTTCAAGAATTTTTTCTATGACATTCTATGCGATCTTGTAGTTTTAATAGTATTAGCAAAAATAACGGTATAGCTTTTGTGGTAAGCTAAAGTTTAATTTGAAAAATATGTTTTTAGAGAATGTAGTATAACACATAAGGCTTCAAGTAAACCTGTTCGTAGTGATAACATAATTATACTTAGCCCATGCAGGATCACCTTAAGTAAACTAAATTCGGTTATGAGCTCAAGTTGTTCTGGCGTGGTTTTTAGGTGTCCGAATTTCACTTATATTCATCAATCGCTTATGTTTTAGTTATTAATCCATATAATTCCGTAACTGTCTAAGTTTATCAAATCGTGTATTTAAGGCATCGAGCTTAGAATAATAACGCATAGAAACCTAGCCCGCACACGCTAAGTGAGGCAAGTTAGAGGGTTCCAAACGCGCTCCCAGGAGCGCGCGGGCTGTTAGTGCTCAAGGTCATATTGCACCGCGAACAGCTCCAAAATTTTTTGCTAAAAATGACGAAATGTGCGGTAAATGGGTGTAAAAATACAACAGACAAACATAAAATAGACACTAACATCGCATTCCACAAGTAAGTAATGCGTTTCAACTCATATTTTTATGTAAATATTCACTAAAACAGAAAAATAATTTCGCGGCAACAAAATACGAAAGTGTTGCAAAGTAACGAATTTTTTTTCTCCCCATTTTGCTATTCTGTTTCAAAATAATTATATTACGTAAATTTTAGTGGTGCCTGTAATTTCGATTTATTTGCGCATCTTGAACTAATATTTACTTGAATAAACATTAAATGTTTTCGTTGTAAGTGATTGGGACACTTAATTATTTTATAATACTTTTAAGGTCAGGCCACACAGACGCGGTATAGCGGGAAAAGCGTTTCGGGGGCGGACCTGCGGGAAGCGAATGCGTGCCGGGGCATGCCACACGGCAATCCCGAGTGTAGTTCGTGACGGGACAGCGGCACGAAGGCGGCCGGTGTGACACCAAAAGCGTCACGCCACATTTCATTTTCAACACAAATAAAGAAAGGTCCATGTCACTATCGGATAGTGATGTAGAAGAACATCTTTAAACTTTTGTATGGGGTGTTAAAGTTACCTTGAAAAAAAATCTGCTAAAAATTTCAAGAAAAAATTAAATACATATTTTTTTAGTGCTGAAACTAGAGTGTACTAGAGTAATTCGGGCTTTCTTTGGCATTGTGCTCATTAGCTGGGCTGTTTCCGGTTACCGTTACAAAAACTAGAACAGCAAAATTAGCAAATTTGTAATTGTAGTACTTAAAAATGGGGTACAGGGCGTACATTTTCAACATTTTTCATTAAAATGCTTATATTACAAAAAGAAAATGACTCCGATTTTTTAAATATTTTTTTCTGGGTAGTTACAAACTAGGCAACATTCTGTTCCCAGGTTATCGTTGAGTTTTCGGACACTCTGTATACTTACTTTGAAGGTTTTGAATCAAACTATTCATATGAACAGAAATTGTTTATTTAAAAACATTAAAAAATTCTATAATCTTAACACAATTAACTTGAAACTATTTTTTCAGTGAGACTCACTGGGCATTTTCATTATAACAAATAATAGGTATATAAGATTTGTAGAATCAACAATAATAATTGCATTTAACTACTGTACCTACTTACTTTATTATTAACAATCTATATACGTAATTAACTTGAAACTTCTTTTTCTATCAGTCCAAATGGGCATTTTTATTTTAATAAATAATAAGTACCTATCTAAGATTTGTATAACACCAACTATTTTGTTTAAGTTATGTATCTACATAAGTGCATTATTTTGAACAATCTTAACATAGTTAACTTGAAACTTCTTTTTCTATCTGTCTCACTGGGCATTTTTATTTTGACAAATTATTTGTCATCTGATTATTTTGAATTGCAATTGAAATTAACTTGAAACTTCTTTTTGTAGCAGTCTCACTGGGCGTTTTTATTTTAACTAATAATATGTATCTATCTAAGATTTATGTAACAACAATTGTATTTAACTTATGTACCTACTTATATTATTTTGAGCAATTTTAACATAGTTAACTTAAAACTTCTATTTCTAACAAACTCGCTGGGCATTTTTATTTTAACAAATAATTAATAGGTCCCTATCGAAAGTTACATTATTATGAACAATCAACAATCTTAACACAATTAATTCAAACTTCTTTTACTATCAGTCTAATGCTGGCTTCCTACGGCCCATGATTTTTTATTTTAACAAATAACAGGCATCTAAGATTTGTAGAATCAACAACAATTCTATTTAATTTTATGTACCTACTTAAATTATTATGAACAATGCATAATTGCAATTATACTTAACTTATATACCTACTTATACACTCGGGAGCAATGAATCCGAGTCACTAACATAAAAATCAACATCTCAGAACTAACAATGCAAACTTATTCAAACAAAAAGTGTTTTGTAGACCATTCAATACTCTAATAAAAATTATAAAACTCCTTGGTTGCTATTTTTTAAAGTTATTTGTTAAGTTAAACTTAACTGTTTATTTATTTAACTTTTTGTTTATTAAATTAGCATTCATCATTTCTTATTACATTTTTTATGTTATCACAGCATTAATTCAGTACCATACCTTTTGGAATTACCCTGTGTAGTTTAGTCATCAACTATATTACAGGTACCATAATGGGAAACACAAGTCTTCAGGAATTAGTTGCAATGAAACTGGGATACTTCCTTGATCGTTATTACTTGTTGTGCTAATTACGGTAAATTAAGGAGATTGTACCGGTGCTACTGAAATTTGATTTTCTTCTAGGTCGTTCAGTTCAGCTTCTGTAAAAATGTGTGCAAGTTTCAATTTGATTTCGACTTGAATTGTGGGTTTCAGTTTTTTAAATGTTTCTGCATAACTAATGAACAGATAATCTACGGCGTCATGTTTTTTTCTTAGAGAAGAGAAGAGGTATCTCACAGTTGATTGTTATTGATGGAGGGAGACGTTTTCCACAACGTATTCGGCCAGCTAACACAGAAATGGCAAGTCTATAGACGTCACATGCAATATGATATTGAAACGACAATAGAAGTTGTCAAAGGCACGTGTTGTTTACACAATTTCATTAAAGTAAGAACGGTAACAATGCGGTTCAACAGAGCGATTCTCAACCAGTTGAGGCCAATGAACTACTTCCAATTCGTACAAATCAAAGATCGTCTGATTATGCAATTGAAATCAGAGAAAAATTTGACAATTATTTTAATAATTATTAAAAACATAAAAAATATACTCACGATCTTGATTTAGCTCCTTGGAATTGTTTCCCAAATAATTTCTATGTTTTTATAATTTCTATCACTTGTATTAAATAAACTGGGGTATGATTGCACCAATGATATAAGTTTTTCCGTCGAATTCATCTTGAAACTTGATTAAAATCAATTAAAACACATTCCCTAGTTGTAAAAAAATACAACGTCCAAGCCCGCTGAAGCCCCGCTCCGGGATCGCGCCCCGCCACTGACGCGCTGTGTGAACGGTTGCATAGAACTCAATGTATTACAACACCCGCGACCGCACCCGCCCCGCGGACGCCGCGGCCGCGGCCCGCGCCCGCTCTGCCTGTTTGTCATGGCGTGCGGCCCCGCACCGCGCCGCCTCGCCCCGCGGCCGCCGCGCCTTTCAGTGTGGCAGGGTTCATAAGAACTGGTACATTACAAAAAATCCCGCGCCCGGAACGCTTCCGCGGCCGCCTCTGTGTGGCCAGAGCATTAACGGCTCTGCGTTCATGCTTTATTGAATAATTATTTATTTTAATTTTATTTTAATTGGAGCACATATTGCAACAAATTTACAGTATATATTTGTTTCTACTATAGTGTTGGCGCCACCAGTACAACTTTGATAGCTTATTATATGTCTTTCTTTTCGTAACTCAAGCGAAATATTTTATGTTGAAATATTTTATTTTCTTAAAAGGGGAGCATTCTTAAGCGATTTTTTAATCTATTTTAACATTTATTTTCTTTAAAGTTTGCTTATGGCATTTTCGGTTTTAGGTTTCGAATATGGCACTTATTTCTAAATTCAAGATGGCGGGCGCGATTTTTCGAATAATGGCAAGTTGGGTATCGTTTTCGAGATGTTTGGGAATGTTCAATACAAAATGGCACTCATTTCTAAATCCAAGATGGCAAACACGACAGTTCAAACAAAAGCAATATTCGTAATGAGCACCCCCAAATACCTCGAAAAGATACCCAACTTGCCATTATTTGAAAAATCGCGCCCGCCATCTTGGATTTACAAATAGTGCCATATTCACATTGAGCATCCCCAAATACCTCGAA